CAAGTTTTTTGTGAATTCTCTTGGATATAAACCTGGCTGGTCATATGGTAACTCTATGTTTAACTTTTTGAGGAACTGCCAAACTATTTTCCAAAGCTGCTGCATCATTTTATATTCCCACCAGCGATGTATGAGAGTTCTGATTTCTTGACATCCTGGCCAATATTTGTTATTGTCTTTTCTTTTTTTACTGTAGCTGTCCTAGTAAGTGTGAAGTGGTTTTGATTTGCATTTCCCTAATAACTAATGAAGTTGAGTATCTTTTCATGTGCTTATTGGCCTTTTGTATACCTTCTTTGGAGAAATGTCTATTCAAATCCTTCATTCATTTTTAAATTGGGTTGTCTTTTTACTATTGAGTTGTAAGTGTTCTTTATATATGCCAGGAAAATAGATCCTTAGCAGATATACAATTTGCAAATATTTTCTTCCATTCTATGGGTTGTCTTTTCACTTTCTTAACAGTGTTCTTAGACACATAAAGTTTTACATTTTGATGAAGTCCAATTTACTTTTTCTTTGGTTGCTTTTGGTATAGGTGTCATATCTAAGAAATCATTACATAATTCAAGGTCATAACGATTTACAACCATATTTTCTTCTAAGAGTTTTATAGTTTTAGCACTTACATTTAGGTCTTTGATCCAGTTTTTTTTTTTTTTTTTTTTTGCATTCCATTAGGGCGAATCCAGGGGAAAGATTCGCCCTGAGCTAACATCTGTTGACAATCTTCTCTTTACCTTTTTTCACCTACCCAAAGCCCCAGTACATGGTTGTATATTCTAGTTGTGAGTCATTCTAGTTCTTCTATGTGAGCTGCCACCCCAGCATGGCAACTGACAGATGGTTGGTGTGGTTCTGTGACCTGGAAGCGAACCTGGGCAGCCAAGCCAAACTTTTACCACTAGGCCATCAGGGCTGGCTCTCTTTGATCCATTTTGAATTTTTGTATATGGTATGAGGTAGGGATCCAACTTCATTCTTTCACAGTTGTCCTAGCATCATTTATTGAAAAGACTATTCTGTCCTCTTTAAATGGGCTTGATACCCTTGTTGAAATCAATTGACTGTACATGTATGGGTTTATTTCTGGACTCTTAAATTGATTCCGTCAATCTATATGTCTATTCTGATGTCAGTAGTACATTGTCTTGATTACTGTTGCTTTGTAGTAAGTTTTAAAATTGGGAAGTGTGAGGTCCTCCAACTTTGTCCTTCTTTTGCAAGACTGTTTTGGCTGTTCTGGGTCCTTTGCATTTCCATATGAATGTTAGGATCAGCTTGTCAATTTCTTCAAAAAGAGAAAAAGGCTGTTGGATTTTGACAGGGATTGCATTGTATCTGTAGATCAATCTGGAGGGGATTACCATCTATTTTTTTTTTTCATTTTCGTGTGTGAGTGTGTGTGTGTGTGTGTGTGAAGAAGATCAGTCCTGAGCTAACATCCATTGTCAATTCTCCTCTTTTTTGCTGAGGAAGATTGGCCGTGGGCTAACATCCATGCCCATCTTCCTCTATGTTATATGGGACGCCACCACAGCATGGCTTGATGGCGGTGCCTCAGTCTGTGCCCAGCATCTGAACCTGCAAACCCCAGGCCACCGAAGTGGAATATGCAAACTTAACCACTATGCCACTGGGCCCACCCAAGACGACTGCCATTATAACAATAGTATGTCTTCAAATCTATGAACACAGGCTGTCCTCCCATTTACTTAGGTCTTCTTTAATTCTTTCTTTCTTTCTTTCTTTATTGGTGAGGAAGATTAGCCCTGAGCAAACATCTGTCGCCAATCCTCCTCTTTTTGCTGAGGAAGACTGGCTCTGGGCTAACATCCGTGCCCATCTTCCTCCACTTTATATGGGACGCCGCCACAGCATGGCCTGACAAGCAGTGCCTCGGGTGCGCACCTGGGATCCAAACCCAGGCCGCCAGCAGCAGAGCGCACACACTTAACCGCTATGCCACCAGGCCGGCCCCATTCTTTAATTTCTTTCAACAATGTTTTTAACTTTTCAGTGTATAAATCTTCCACTTCTGTTGTTAAATTTATTCCTAAGTATTCTATTCTTTTTAACCTATTATAAATGGAATTATTTTCTTAATTTCATTTTCAAATTCTTCATTGCTAGTGTATAGCTATAGAACTTCTTTTTTGTATATTTACCTTGTATTTTGCAACCTTGCTAAACTTGTTTATTAGCTCTAATTGTGTGTGTTTGTGTGTGTGTGTGTGTGTGTGTATTTATTCTTTAGGAGTTTCTATATGCAAGGTCATGTCATCTTTCTTTTCAATCTGAATCCTTTTATTTCCTTTTCTTGCCTAATTGCTCCTGCAAGAACTTCCAGAACAATGCCGAATGGAAGTAATGAGAGCAGACATCCTTGTTCCTGATCTTAGGGAAAACCTCATTCTTTCACCATTAAGTATGACATTAGCTGTGGGTTTTTCTTAGATGCCCTTTATCAAGTTGAAAAAGTTCTCTTCTATTCTTATTCTAAGTGTTTTTTTTAATCATAAAGAGTGTTGGATTTTGTCAAATGCTTTTTCTGCTTCTATTGAGGTGATCATGTTTTTTTCCACTGTATTCTATTAATATGGTGTATTACATTAATTGATTTTTATATGTTGAACTAACTTTGCATTCCTCAGATACATTTTCATTGGTCATTGTATAATCCCTTTAATACGCTACTGGATTCAGTTTGCTAGTATTTTGTTGAGAATTTCTAAATACACCATCACAAAAGACATTGGTCTGGGACTGGCCCGGTGGTGCAAGTGGTTAAGTACGCACGCTCTGCTGCGGCGGCCCGGGGTTCACCGGTTCAGATCCCGGGTGTGCAACAATGCACCACTTGTCAAGCCATGGTGTGGCGGCGTCCCACATAAAGTAGGGGAAGATAGGTATGGATGTTAGCCCAGGGCCAGTCTTCCTCAGCAAAAAGAGAGGATTGGCAGATGTTAGCTCAGGGCTGATCTTCCATACACACACACAAAAAAAGACATCGGTCTGTAGTTTTCTCATTTTTTGTCTGGTTTTGATGTCAGGATAATATTGGCCTCATACAATGAGTTGGGAAGTGTTCTCATATTCTTTTGGTTGTAAACTGGACATTGTAAATAACTGAATGTGCAACACTAGAACTCAGATTTTCTCCCTCCCCAAGGTCTGTTGTCATTACTGCTTGTTGTAGTAGTTGTTTAAGTTACTATCCCGAACTAATTCTGTAAAGTCTGTATTCTTTGTCATGTGAGGCCACTGAAGTCTCTATTTAGTTAGTTTAGTGGTCAGCCAATAATGGACAGAGATTTCTTTAAATGCCTGGAACCAATAAATCTCCCAGTCTTTGCCAAGGGTCTCTAAGTGCATGTTAGGGCACACTATCAAACTACAGGCAGGCAGTTTACAACTCCACCTTAGCCTTCACTTCCTGCATGTGCAGTGCTTCAAGGTCAACCAAAGGTGAGAGCTTAGGGCCTTCTCAATTCCTTCACATCCCTGGGCACACAGACCTATGCATGTTCATGACCTTCTAGATTTCCTGGAATATGTCAAAGTTTTCAAAGCCTCTATGGACATCTATTCCTTAACCTTTCCTTTTAAGTTTTTTTTAGTCTACTGTTTGACCCAACTCTTATTTGTTGGCTGTAGCAGTCACAAAGTTAAAACACTTGTCTGTAATTGTTTTTTAAAAAAATGTCCCTTGGAGAGATGTCTTCACATTGAGTGAGCGTCAAGTCAGGCCAAATATAAACAGCCTTGCAATTGAGGTACTTGAAGAACCACCAGACAGGTCAAATGATGACAATCGTTTGGGCATGCATCTTTGAAAGAGTCCTAGCTCCATTCTTCCTTTGGTAGCTGACATGCTACAACAGGAATTTTTGAAGGCTACTGTGGAGAACAGGGGATGGGTCTAGGGCAAGTTAAAATGCCACAAAACTGACAGTTCTTACTGACATTCGCCCTTATTCTTTTTTTTTTTTGTTGTGAGGACATCAGCCCTGAGCTAACATCCACGCCAATCCTCCTCTGTTTGCTGAGGAAGACCGGCCCTGAGCTAACATCTATTGCCAATCTTCCTCTTTTTTTCCCCCTTTTCTCCCCAAAGCCCCAGTAGATAGTTGTATGTCATAGTTACACATCCCTATGTGGGGGATGTGTTGCCGTATGTGGGACGCCGCCTCAGCATGGCCAGACAAGCGGTGCGTCAGTGTGCGCCCGGATCTGAACCCGGGCCGCCGGTAGCAGAGCGCGTGCACTTAACCGCTAAGCCACGTGGCGGGCACCCCTCGCCCTTATTCTTGGATAAATGTTCTCCAGGATGTTTCAAGCCTGTGGCTAATTTCCACACTTCTCAAAAAGTTGATTCTGTTGATTTTTGCCAGTCTTCTGGTTGATTTTATGGAGGAGACAATTTTTGGAATCCTTAATACACTGTTATTTTCACTGACGTCACTCACACCTACTTGTTTTCTAAACTTGAAAATAAACCCTGAACTTTTTCAAATATGACTAATTATTCTGAAGTATCATCTTCTCATGACTGATTAGCATTCCATTCTATAAATAAATTTGTTATTTAACAACCACTTCCCAGGGGCCGGCCCAGTGGCGTAGTGGTTAAGTGTATACTCTCCGCTTTGGCAGCCCGGGGTTCGCTGGTTCAGATCGCCGGCACGCACCGGAGCACCGCTTGTCAAGCCATGCTGTGGCGGCGTCCCATAGGAAGTAGAGGAAGATGGGCACAGATGTTAGCCCAGAGCCAGCCTTCTTCAGCAAAAAGAGGAGGATTGGCATCGGATGTTAGCTCAGGGCTGATCTTCCTCACAAAAAATAAATAAATAAATAACAACCACTTCCCAACTGTTAGACATTAGGTGGTGGAAGGCTCCAGGGACATGCTGGAGCCAGCTTGCACTGGCTCTGAAGAGCCACTTGTTTACGTCTCTTCCCAATTCCCTGTTCAGTGAAATTCCATTGGTGGTGTGAAACCAGCCATGGTGGAAATGCGTACACTACAGAAACTGGCAAAAATACAAAATGTTTTCCCCCACCCTCAACTGATAGGCGGCTGTTAAACACTTAACTGCACATGACTTGGTGCATGTATCATAACAGAGAGCTGTATCAGGACCACATTTTATTCATTTGTGTATCCTTAAGACTCAGTAGAAGGTCTAGCACACAGTAGGTGATTAGGCTGTTTTTGCTCTTTTTGTGTACATGCTTCTTGACATAGTTGGATTCCCAATCCAAGTACTATTTTATAAGATTTCTTGATTTAGCATAACTTCAAAGCATTGACACATAATTGTCATTATATTAATGGCTGCAATTTTCCTTTGAACGAATGAATCATTATTTCTTTAACCCCTCCTATGTTGATTTATTGTTAGGTTACTTCTGATGTTTCACAGTGATCAACGTCTCTGTGTAATGAGCTTTCTGTATCTTGTTGGAACTCCTTTAAAGCTGGGAACAGGCTATCTTGCCAAAAGAACACCTGAGACAGAATAAAAAACATATATGACCTTCTAGATCATTAATTCCTTTATATAGTGAGTGCCTTGTCTGTGCTCAAGTCTAGCACCTGTTACAGGGACTCAGGAAGAAAATTAGCCTGGTCTCATCACAAACAGGTGCTACATTTACCATTTTAATGCTGTCTCCAAATGAAGTTATACCTGCAAGACAACGGTGCTCATCATATACCATCATGCATCGCTTAACAACAGGGATACATTCTGACCAATACGTTGATAGGCAATTTTGTTGTTGTGGAAACATCATAGAGTGTACATACAGAGACCCAGATGGTAATAGCCTACTACACACCTAGGCTATATGGTACTAATCTTATGGAACCACAGTTGTTATGTGCCATCCGTCATTGACCAAAATGTCATTACTAGGCATATGACTGTAAATCCATAGCTCGGAACCAAGAATAATCAGGGTATACTTTCAGCCACTTTAACAGAGAACCAAAATACTCGTGCATTAAACATATAGAAGTTTCTTTTTCATCTATTAATAGCCCAGCTTTGCAGTAACAGGAAGCCAGGCTCCAAATACATTGTTGCTCAACTGCCCCTAGTATGCCGCAGTCTGCATGGCCCAACGTGGCTTACTGCCTATTGGGAGCAGAAAAATGCCTCTTTCCTTCTAGAGCACCCAAAGTTGTGCATATCACTTGGTCTCACATCCTATTGGTCAGACTTAATTATATGGCCACACATAGCTGCAAAGGAGTCTGGGAAGTGTAGTTTTTGATTTGGTTGACCATATATCCAGCTAAAACTTGAGGGTCATGATAATATGAAAAGTAAAGAACTGATTTGGGGCAAAATTAGCATTCTGTCCTACGTATCCAATACCTTTTTTATGAATTAATATTTTTAATGTTCTACAAATTTATATATTTAAAATTTTTCTGTATTGATTTTGAAAATATCCCAGTTATATTACATCATCATTTTTATGTTAAAAGCATTAGGCTGGTAAACTTAAACTTGTAAACTGTGCCAGAAATTTTGCAATCCTGTTTTAGTCTTCTTTTCTTCTATGGCAGGAGCTAAAAGGAATTGGTCCAGACCTTGCTCAACTGTGTAAGCAAAGACAGATGAGATCTAGTCTCTGCCCTCTTGGTCTAGTGTGGAAGACAAACAGGGCAATAAATCATTATAGTAGGTATACACAAAAATCTACAGAAGCCTAGAACAAGACTTTTTCCCCAGGAGGTAAGAGAAAGCTTCGCAGAAGAGGCAATCCAAATTCATCTTGTAGAAAAAGCAAGAAAGACCATTCCAGACAAAGAGAACATCTTGAGCAAAGGCATTGAGTGTTGGAGGTACTCCAGCAATTCAACTGAACACAGGGTGGATGGGTTGGATGACTGGCTGGAGAGGAGGATGGAGAGATGAGCTGGCCCCAGGTCTTGGAGACGAAGAGCCTTCATTTGTCTGACTGTGGTGGGTATGGTGAACTGGGTCTCATCATGTATTTCAGCCTCTTAGTGTGCCTTCACATGCTGCAGAGACTAGAAAGCTGAAAACCACATTTCCCTCCCTTCCTTGCAGTTAGAATTCTGGATAAGAGTTAGCTCCATCAGTTAAATGCACTAGTGCAGCTAGGAGTGAGGTGGGGGCCATCTTCTGGCTTCCCTGGTTGTTACTGCTGGCTAGCAAGGCCAAGGAGACACTAGATTTCAGCAGCAGTTCAGCTTTGTTGGAGCGAAAGGAGATTAAGAGAGAGTTGCAGCAGTGGCAAAGGCTTCTTTATATCTGGATCACAGTTCTGAAGACAGCCTCCTGACTCCTCCCTTTCCCTATTGTGGGAGAGGCTGCAGCTCCCCTGGTTAGGCCAGTTATGCTGTGTTGTTCTGGGTACATTCTTGGAGGCCCACCTAGACCCATTCCTCTAGGCTTTCCAATGACTTTGTAAGCATCTAATCCTGTATTAAATCCCCTTCTGATTAAAATGGCTAGGCTGGCTTCTGTTTCCTGTAACTGAACCCTGATTAATGCAGAGGCTATGCATTGGAGCTGCATTCCACCTAAAATGTGGCTCTAATTCAGGCTCTGGCTCATGTTCTGGAGAGCTTGTTGCCCACGAGGCAATGTGGACACCTCCCTCAGAAAGTTCTCCTGGCCTCGCCTGCTGCAGGTGGAGAAGAATAGACCACTTCTGAAGGCAAGTTAGGGAAAGCATAAACACAGCCTTCTCTTTAGGGCTTCTGCTTCTGACATACCCATCTTCCCTTTCACAACCAAAGGTGGGGGGTGTACAATCCTGAACATGACTCAGGCCAAATGAGTGTCTACAACAACATACTGAATGAGTTAAAATACCTATCATCACAGAGATTTGGGGCCTCTTTCATTTCCCAACAAACAAAGCCATGGAGGTTAAATCAGAGCCTGTGGGGGTATGGTGGGGGAGGGGTATTGGTAGTGGTGTGGAAGCAGAGAGGAGGGAACAATCACTCTACATGCACTACCCCACTGTGGTACACACATGAACCACCTTCCATTTTTATCATTGTCTACTTATTTTAAGGTAGAATAGGAAAACATAAGATGTGAAATAAACCCAATTTTGTGAGCAGTATTTCTTCAGGACATGGCTACGTTTACAAAGCAAAACAATTAGGAGAAATTATTAGGAAAGTAATAGAACTGGCATGAAGGTCTGGCCAAAGCCATGCAGGTGGCATGCCAATTCCTAAGATTTGGGAAGCCCACTGCAAGATCACATTTAGTCCTCGTGACAACTGTAGGAACTGCTTATTTTTTGTCCCCACTAGCAGTCACATGGCTGCTGGTGGTCAGTGACAAAGTTGGGATTCATTCCCAGTGGTATCTTCTTCACCCTACTCCCACCCTCACCTTATTTGTTATATACAGACTCTGAAAGCCACCAATAAGAATAACTTTGGAGAAGTGAAAAACTTTTCCAGCCCACTTCCTCCTAGTGGCTGTAGTCATCCACCAGGTCCCAGTTCCTCACTGATGGGGCTAGTCTGTTGCAGAGAGAGCTCAGGAGATCTGTCAGGCCTTTGGCCTGGACATCTAACATGTCTGCCTCCTCCAGGTTGCAGGCTGCAAGGAAGCAGCTGCCTTCAGGTTGAGGGGCAGAGAGGAGGGAGGAGCCTGTCTGGGTCTCCACCACTCCTCCTTGCCCTCCTCTCTGGCCTGTAGTCCACATCCCAGGAAAACAAAAAAGAAAGTGCAGCTGGGAGGGTGTGGGGGGTTGGGATGCTGCCTGAGCACAGGCTGAGAGTTTCTTCTCAAAAACCAATGACTCACATGGTCCCAAGACCCAGGGTCAGAGCTGTTAGAGGCAGCAAATAGAAGAGGGGTAAGGTCCAAGCCAGCCTTCCTGACGAGCCAGTGGCCATCGGTGTGCCTCTTGGGCCAGAGGTTTCAATGCTGTCCTAGGGTGCGAGCTAGGCGGCCTTCAGAGGTCAACCAGCAAGGAAGGAGAAGGTGTTTGGGGCATGGCTGGGGCTCACTGCTCTTACTCCAATGCAAACAACTCCCATTTTATCTGTTTCAGATTCTAAAAACAGTTTGAGAATCACTGTCCTAGCATCTTCCAGGCCTCAGGTTTGAAGAAATGCTTGCAGGCCTCACTCGGCCACTGGCTCTAAAGATATCCAGGGCAGAAATGGATGGGATGGAGAAGGAGAGCAATGGCAGATGAGCCTGGGGAACCAGATGAGCAGAAAGGATAGTGGGTCCCAGAAGCCAGGCTTTACCAAGCCCTCTTCTACAGTGCCTCCTTGTCATTCCTCTACCTAGCTTAAAACAACACACATTGGGGGCCTGTGGGTGGCGTAGCGGTTAAGTGCGCGTGCTCCGCTGCAGTGGCCCAGGGTTCGGATCCCGGGTGCGCATGGACGAACTGCTTGTCAAGCCATGCTGTGGCGGTGTCCCATAGAAAGTGGAGAAGATAGGCACGGATGTTAGCCCTGGGCCAGTCTTCCTCAGCAAAAAGAGGAGGATTGGTGACAGATGTTAGCTCAGGGCTGATATTATATATATATATATGTAAATAAATAAGTAAATAAGTAAATAAATACAGTAAATAAGTAACTAAATAAGTAAATAAAGAAATAAGTAAATAAGTAAATAAAGAAATAAGTAAATAAAGGAAATAAGTAAATAAATAAATAAGTAAATAAGTAAAGTTTAATTAATTAATAAGTAAATAAAAATAAGTAAATAAATACATAAGTAAATAGGTAAATCAATAAATGATAAATAAATAAGTAAATAAGAGAAGTCAAGATAGCAGCCTAAGCAGACTCTGAACTCACCTCCTCCCACAGACACAGCCAATTTACAACTAATCGTGGAAAAATTACCCCTGAGACAGAACTGAAAACTGGATAAGAGGAACTCCTGCAACAAAGAACAATCCTAATTGAGGTGGAAGAGGCAGAAACTCCCTTCTGGAGAG